ATTTCTAGGACATCCATGTTAAAGAGGTGAAAGACACCACTCCTGCAATGTGGCACTGCAAAGTATGGGTACAGGGAGGGAAAGCATCTCATCCCAACCATCAGTCCTTAGCCCCATTGCTAGCCCAGGTGAGGACTCCATAGACTGATAAGAAATGATCATTTTTGTTTAAAGGTATTGGGTTTTGGCTGGTAAGCAGGGGCACAGAATTGATTGATTATATACGAACCCCTGAATCCTATCCAGATTGGACTCCTGATTGAGACCTATGGTTGATATTTTCACAATCAATATTTCAGTGTTAGAGATTAATGGTTCTTTCTCCAAACTATAGGGGGTGGGCAGTGTGGGCAGTATCCACATTCCCTGGAGATTATTGGAAATTGCAGCATCTCGGGTTTCACCTCATTTCAGCAGAATCAAGTCCAGAAGTTTTCTCACTATTCCCACGTTGGAAACTTGTCTTCCCAAATCTGGATGTTTGTTCCAGATATCTCCTCTGCTTTGGAAGTGAGCTTCTCACCCATCTTGGGGGTTTGCATTCCTTCTTGAGGTAAGGTCCATCTGCAAAATTCATTTATCCATGGAACATTTTTCACTAACTGGTTTCTTACTCTGAAGAAGTCGAAAGGCTGCTACAGACTCTGCAAAGCCCATTAGTCCTGAACTGTTTGTCACCAGAGGTATAGTTAGATGCAACTGAAAACAGTTTTTTTCATCTTAGTATATAAAATGACTATGATTTAGGGTGATGGCTTCTTTTAAACTGAATCTTTTGTGGTTTCTTTATTCACTTCTGTTATAGAAGAAAAGTCAGCATTCATGACTATCTGTCTAGAGTTTTATAGCAAAATTATTCCATATGATTTCTGTGAACTCAGATTTTACTTCCAGGCTCCCAGGCATATTATCTTTGCCCTTAATGTTTAGTATTTTAGACAATCCTAGATTACCTTTAAATTTCGTGGTTTAGAAAATGAAGATGAAGGTAGGTTTGAATTTGAGATCTGTGATTTCTGTCTCTGATACTGCTATTTACACATTTGTTTGAGAACGGAGAACACTTTGTGGTTTGTTGGCATACTGCATAACTACTCAATTCAACGTAAGCCCCAACATGTAAGGTAACTCTTTCAAGGATATACTAGGTGTATTATATGATATAGTGCTTGAGGTCAGTACTTTTAGCACATAGAAAGACAGATAAGTCTCTGAGATGGCAGTTGTATCCTTTGTTCCAATTTAAATGTGCTGCCTGCTGTTTATCAAGGTTTTTAAAAAAGGCATGTTTATGGAGAGTAAATCAATTTTATTTCTTAGAGGCTAGGGGAAAATACTTAGCTGTATACATTGCTGATAAGGATGTAGTGTTTTTTTAATTCTGGTGCTATTTTAGGTTGTAATGAAGAAACTAAAGATTCAGGTTGTTTAACTTACTTACAACAATTTGATAATAATAAAATTTCTAAACACCAGGCTGGGAGCAGGGAGAAGTCAATAATGAATGAAGACCAAAATAAATTACATCAAACAAACAAAATGAAGCCAACATACATGCACATACACACGTACAAAGCACACACATACTTTATTGGTGATAGGGTTAATACCCTATTCTCATTTAATACCATTTGGGTTTTAACCTAAACCTCACAATCTTCTTTTTTCCATTCCATCATATTTAGATTTTTTTGAAAATACTAATATCCTTCACTTATCCAAATGATTTCCTAATCACGGGTTCTGAAATTTTTTTTTTTATATCATGGTTCCCTTGCTTTTCTGTGAAACTTTTTCAGAAGAACATTTAAAACACATGAAATGAGGTGCAAAACAGTACAAGGAAAATTAGTGATAGCAAAATACAATATCAAGATACTAGAAAAAATGATCTGTGATAGGTAACATGTGCTTATATTAAATAAGATATAGGGACAGTCTAATAGCTACCATAATTTCAAAGTAGTGACAAGTTTTAACAATTTAAGAAACTGTAACCTTAAATTCTAACAGAAAAATAACTGATTTCTAGAAGTGTCAAAGTAATATTAAAATGAATACGCTTTACTTAGAGGCTATTACCGATTTTATTTTTTTCATTCAAGTTCATGAAACTTATTGTAGATTTTTTTAATTCAGTGGGTCCATGATTACCCTCCTGCTAAGTGGCAACTTTCATACTGAATGGGGTCTAGCTGCCTTCCATCGAGTGGGACTGCAAGAGTCTTGGGGAACCCTCCAGAAAACTGCCTGGTTACAGGAAGAAATCCAGTCTTATTTTTTTTTAAAGATTTATTTATTTATTCGTACAGAACTGGGGTACAGGCCAGAGATGCGGAGGGTGAGAGGATTCACCAGAGACAGAGTGGGGAGCAGAACAGGCAGATTAATGAAGTACACTGCTGAGGGGAGCAGCGGGCGGGTCAGGAGAGGTCTGCCACGCCATGTGGTCACCTCCGGGGCAGGCGGGAACCGAACTCATGCGGAAGTGGCTTTAGCTTCTCAGTGCTGTGCTTTAACCCGCTGCGCCACGAGGGAGGGCCACCAGTCTTATTTTTTAAGGTTGAAAATGAGGAAAAGTCATTGTCTTCCCAAACATCCAACCTAGCCCAGCCTTTAATCCTTAGCCCCATTGCTAGCCCAGAAGAGAAATCCACAGACCGATAAGAAATAAGAAATAATAATTTTTGTTTAAAAGTATTGGGTTTCAGATGGTAAGCAGGGGCACAGAACTGATTGATATAATGAATCCCTGAATCCTATCCAGATTGGACTCCTGATTGAGACTTATGGTTGAGATTTTCATAATCAATATCTCAGTGTTAGAAATTAATGGTTCTTTCCCCTAACTATGGGGGGGGGGGCAGTATTTACATTCCTTGGAGCTTATGGGAAATGCAGCGTTTTATGTTTCATCTCATTTCTGCAGAATCAAGTCTGCAGTTTTAGGCGATTCCCACAGGCAGTGAAATTTGCAAAACCTTAAACTTTCAGAAGATGAGCCAATCTCTTAAAATCTTCCCTCATAGAAACTTCTTTCTTTCACTTTCGATTAGAAAACATTCTCTGGCTACAGGTTTATTAGGTCCAGTTTCTGGGACTGTCGAATCATTATTCTTCCTATTCAAATGCTCCTGGTGCGCTATTTGGGGTCTGATGTGTCTCTTTTGTGTCAAATGTATCACAGGACAGGTCTTTATGGACATGTGTGGGCTGTTGGAAAGTAAGGAAGGAAGCAAGGAATGAAACCTGCTAAAAACCAACCAATAAACCCCATGCAAAGAAACTAGTGGAACGGCAATTACAACTCTAACGAAGTGTGTTTAACCTGTTGTCTTTAAAAATCCACCAGGCTTTGCTGGATGTGGGTCTCGCGGGTGATCGGTGGATGCGCTGGGATCCCCCATCCTCGCAGGTAAGCCAGGGAACGGGTGGCTTTACACTCAGGAGACAGAATTCCCAATTCCTCTGAGCGACCGCTTTAGTTTGTCCGCACGCAGCTCCCTTATAAGGCGTGCCCAGCTTCTGCCCTGAGCGGCGAGGTGCAACGCTGGCTCCCAGGCGGCACCTCCAGAGAGCGCGCCTTTATCGCGCATGCCCAGCACGCTCCCTATAAAGGCACTCCTTTTTCGCACCGCCGGTGGTCACATCTGCACCCAGCTCTATGCTAGTCAGGGAGGAACCTGTTGGACATTGGGAGCAAAGGGAAAGTTGGTTCCAGGATCATAGAATTGCTTTAGGGAAGGCGAAGAAATAACCAGCCCACGTTCGGATGGGCCATAAGTTTGCAGACATTATCTCACTTGATGCATTAGGTAGTTCTGTGAGGTTCATGACATGCAAATAAGGCAGAAGCTTCTGAGATGCTCAATAGTGGAGAATTTCCCAAGCTAGTGTTGGAGCTAGGCCTCAACTCAAGAGCCCACCCTCCATGTCTTGAGATTTCTGTTATACCTCTGCTTCCTGGAGGAGCAGTCCCTCCTACCTGCGCTGCTCCCTGTTAACTAAGGCAGCTGCCAGTTAACGGTTAATGCCCTGAAGATGTGAAATTCTAGAGAGTAGGAGGGGATGAGGGCAGAACATTCCTTTGTGACCTCATTAGAGATGTGGGGGCCAGTGGACCTTGTGAGCATGGTATTTACTGGGCCTGTTGGTCCCCATCTGTCAGCTGCATGGGGCTTGGGGTCCAATGGGTAGGGTCGTGGGTCTGGGATGGAATGCATTATTAAGTGGGCACTCATTCTATCAAAGGCCATAAGCCTTAAAGAGGGTCCCCATTGCTAACTCCCTTATAATTAAAATAAAACTGCAGCGTAAGTATAAAAAAGCCCAATTAAGATGTGATTCCAGCCAGTACAGGCACATTTTCACTTGCATTTAAAACACCCAGTGCCCTTTCAGTTTTCATTTCTCTGTATTCCTGAGTTGAGAGGTCCGCTTGTGCTCAGCCATACTTAGACAGCTTTGGAGTAGCAGAAAGAGCAGAGCACCGCTGCCCCCTCCCCGCCCCCGCCCGCACCCCACGAATTGTGATAATCTTTGTGCCTTAGTTTTTTGCTTAGTGAAACGGATGCGCTAACTCCTGTGCCATGGGGAGGGGGTTAAGGCAAAGTTCTTGTTAAAGGACTTTGAAAACTGTTTTGTTAAGCTGACCCCCAGGATTGGGATTCTTGGGGTCTGAATTGCTGCGACCTTCTCCTGTTCCCCAGTTTTTCAGGAGAGGATGGGTTCTAACTTTCATGAAATCACTCTGCCCTGGTCGCCCGCAGTGACTTCCAGGGCACCGCCAGCAACACCAGGAGTTTCTACTATTTAGTAATCGCGGGAGGCGGCGCCAGGCACCCGGCCCCGCCCCTTAGCGCCTGCGGGCCGCCGCCAAACCCCGGCGCACGGATCACGCGGGAGGGAGCCGCTCTGGGCATGCTCAGTGACCTGGCAGGTGGGGCCGCCGCGGGACGCCGGGGCAGCGGAGCCGAGGGGCGGAGGCCGAGGGAAGTGGGCGGGGGCCGCGGCCCGACAATCCAGAGTCTTTGGGGCCTGTGGGGCGCTGGGCAGCCGGGAGTCTGCGCCGGCCGGGCCGGGATGAGCAATGGCATCAGTCAAGGTGGCCGTGAGGGTCCGGCCCATGAATCGCAGGTGAGTGAGGCCGCCTGTGTCTCCCTCCCTGTCAACTCTCAAATGCCAGCGTGGGTTTAAATGTTACAGGCCGGTTTCTGGCCACAGACATAAGTTGTGGCGTCTCTAGAAGCCTGGGTGCCGGAGGACTTCATGCTTTGCTGTCGCTTTCTTGTCGTCCTGGAGGGGGTGGGGGTGAGGCCAGGGAGATACTCTATAAACTCTTTCCTGTCTCATTCACCTGAGCAGGGTTGCTTGTTCCCCCTTATACACACTAAGGGGTTTTCCCCAAGGAAGGCGGGGTAAGGAGTCAGGAATGTGGGAGTAATCTTGGGGGCAGTGCAAGCTGTCAGGCGAACTCCTCTCAACTTTGCCAACTCAGAAGTTCCCAAACTGTTTACAGTGTTAGTTTTTAATCGCTTAATAAGACATGCTCTCTGTCCCCTGAATGGGAGCTCGAACTTCTAGTCAGTAATTTAGCAGGTAACTTCAGATTACAGAATGGATGGGAAACTTTAACAAACTTTCGGTTGCTGGGCACTCTAGTACAGGTGTTTGAAATCTGATATTGACAGAGAGGGCAGAATTGTAAACACATGTAGAGTTTTATCTTGTTATGTAGTTTTATAAAGTAATGCTCTTCTGAATTGAAAAGTAACCTTTGCTTCCTTTTTCAATGATCTCTTTATAATTAGTCTAGAAAGATGCTTTAAAACAATTACCTTTTAAAATGGTTTAACTTTGAAGAATGAAAGAAACTTTAATGGGATGTATCCTCTGGCCCGATAGGCTCAGTTCATACAAGGCCATTTGTTTTTATTGGCTTTTCAATGAAGTTGGTGGACATTTGACTTACACACAGCCAGCCACTTCCCTTCTGCAGGTGTATGTTGGTGTTTGTAACAGCTGATTAGGACATTTGCTAGGAATTGATTTTTCCATTGACAAGTAGGTCTACAAACATTCTGGTTTGTAACTACTGGAAATCAGTGCATTTGTTATTTTTCATGGTATTTCTAAAGTTTTTTTTTAGGGAAATAGTTTGTTAGTCCTGAGAGCATGTTTTTACACATACTTGGTCACACAACATAAAAAGTCCCCAAAGTCACCTTGATGACTTAAAAAGATTTTTCTTTATTATGGATTCACATGCAGATAGATGCTCCTTTTCTTTTCAAAAAATTCATTTATGCGTACAAGAACTGGGGTATAGGCCAGAGGTGTGTGGGGGTTAGAGGACTCACCAGAGACAGCATGAGGAGCAGAACAGGTGGATCTACTGTAACACACTGCTGAGGGAAGCAATGGGCAAGATAGGAGAGGTCTGCTGCACCATGTGGGTTACCTCCCTGGCCTGGGATCAAACTTCTGTTTCACATAGCTTCATAGTGCTGAGACCTAACCCTTTAAGCCACTAGGGAGACCTTAGATGTTCTTTTTTTTCTTTAGAATAATATGAGCACACTAAAAATTTGTAACTTTAGAGAGCATTTATTAACTGTGTACCAGTGCACATGTGTTGGGTGCTTTCTAGGCCAGAAGGTAAATCAAGATCTAATCAAATGACTTGGAGGAGCCTACTGGCTGAACTCTCCTGAAACATTTGGTGGCTGCAGTGGGAAACATAGATGCTGCCAATGTAGTGCCTTCTCAGGTTAGGCCCAGAACCCAGGTGTGTAGAGTTGTATCAAGGAAACGTGTTCAAAGCCATAGGCTTGGAGATAGACTGATGGGATATTTGTGCTCTTAGCAGAGAACTTTGTTGGTATCAGGATTGGGGCAAGAGGTATGGGATAAGCCATGTAGGCCAGAGGTGGAAATTGGAAGGCTGGAGAAATATGGCGTAACAGTTGACTAGTCAAATTAATGGGATTTAGCACTTACTTGGGTGGGAAGGGAATGATGATGAAGAATAAATGTGTTAACCTTAAAATAGCAAGGTCTTTTAGCTAGTTAAATTGATTTTATTCAGGAGTAGCAGAAGGATTGCAATCTGGGACAACCTATGGCAAAACATAGGCAAGTACGAGAAAGGAGAGGATAGATCAGATTTTATTGGGCCTTAGGAAATTGGAAAGGGCTGTTTTGCATAAAAGGTTATTGAGAATTTGAGGTTGTGATGGTTTCTTATTGGTGGACAACTTGTTACTGGGTAAGGAGGCTTCTTGGAAGTTTCAGTAAGCGGCGAGTGCATGAGATCTCTTTAGTCATAGTTTCACAGCTCTGTTTTTTTTTTTTTAAAGATTTATTTATTTGTGCATATAGAACTGGGGTACAGGCCAGAGGCTCAGGGGCGGCGAGAGGCTTCACCAGAGACAGAGTGGCAGATCGATAAAGTAAACTGCTGAGGGGAGCAGCGGGTGGGTCAGGAGAGGTCTGCCACGCCATGTGGTCACTTCCGGGTCAGGAGAGGTCTGCCACGCCATGTGGTCACCTCCAGGACAGGCGGGAATTGAACTCATGCTGAAGTGGCTTTAGATTCTCAGTGCTTTAACCCGCTGCACCACAGGGAGGGCCTCACACAGCTCTATTTTTAATCAGGTTTTCTTCATTCAATTTCAGGTCATAGTTATTATCAATAATTCATTAAAAAAAGATGTGTTTATTTATGCATAGAAGAACTGGGATATAGTCCAGAGGTGTGGCGGGTGAGAGATTTCACCAGAGACAGAGTGGTGAGCAGAACCGGCAAATCTACTGAAATATTGCTAAAAGGGAGCAGCAGGTGGGTCAGGAGAGGTCTGCTGCATCATGTGTGTCAGCTCCCTAACCAGGGATTGAACCCAGGCTGTAGTTGGGTAGCACTGAGACTTAACCTCTAGGCCATCAGGGAGGCCCCCAATAATTTAAATTTCATCCTTAAGAAGGCTTTACTGGGCCCTTCCTGGTGGCGCAACGGGTTAGGATGCAGCACTGCAGGCTGGCTGCATGCAGTTGCTCCAGTGTGAGTTCGACCCCCTGCCCTGGAGGTGATCCACATGGCGCAGCAGACCTTTCCTGACCCACCCGCTGCTCCCCTCAGCAGTATACTTCATGGATCTGCCTGTTCTGCTCCCTGCTGTCTCTGATGAAGTCTCACTACTCCTATACCTGTGACTTGTACCCAATTCTGTATGAATAAATAAATAAATCTTAAAAAAAGTTTAGATTTAAAAAAAAGGCTTTATCTCCTCTTTAGAGGCTTGGGGAAGGTAGATGGTGAAATTTTGCAGCTAATGTTCAGCAGACCGAAACATGGGTTTAGGTGACATCTGGAAACATTTTGCACACCGGTGAAAATTTAAGCGTGTTACCAAGGAAAAGGAATCAGGGGATTGTACACTGACTGGGTGTGCTTCTCTTTAGGAGTCTAGGGAGGTTGGTATGCAGCCCCTGAGAAGTGGTGGGGTGAATTGGACTAACAGCTGTCATTATGGCAGGAAAGGAAGCAGCTGCTAAAGGTGGTTGTAGTTGTTGGTGTCAGATATTGCCAGGATATGAGATGAGGTCCCTGGACTTGGAGATGGGAACATTAGTAACATTTCCAATTGTCTCAAGGTGAGACAATGATCCAGATGTTGGCAGTGAAATGGAAGGAAATAGACAATTTACAACTATAAATACTTGGCCTGCCTCATAAGGAAAGACATGCAATTTATAATAACAGTAAGAATGTATTTTTTTTTTAAATCAGTGAAATTGTTGAATGTTAACTGAACATCAAATACTGATTAAGGAATGGTGATGGGAGAGACATGAAATGCTTTGATAGTGGGGAACTTGACAATAGCTGTGCAATTTCATTTCTTAGAATTTATTTTATAGACTGTATTCCTATCAAAATACATAAGATACTTGTTGCATCATAAGCACCTTAATGTGTGAAGATGGGCAATTTGTTAAATTATAGCCTGTATATTGGGCAGAATGCTATGTAGAACTTATAAAAGAATGTGTTAATCTTCAAAGAGTTCCAAGATAGTGGTTTATGGGAGAAAAACAAGCTATCCACACAGATCCACACATTCTACAGTAGATTTGTGTTTGTGTTAACAATGTATATGCACACAGCTATATATCTGTATAGAACAATTCATAAGAAATCTAACAGTGGTATCTCTAAGGAGGAAGATTGATGGTTTATTAGGTGAAGGTGGACAGTTTTTCTTTTACCTTTTTTACTGCTCAGTATTTTACTTTGTTCATGCATGTAATTAATCATTAAAAACTTGTTTATGTAATTTCAAAAAATGCCCTTGAAAGTGGAGCTTTCTGTTGGAACTGAAGAATTTTTTTTTTTAAAGATTTATTTATTTGTGCATACAGAACTGGGGTACAGGCCAGAAGCTCAGGGGTGGCAAGAGGCTTCACCAGAGACAGTGGGGAGCAGAACAGGCAGATCGACGAAGTACACTGCTGAGGGGAGCAGCAGGCGGGCCAGGAGAGGTCTGCTGCACCATGTGGTCACCTCTGGGGCAAGCGGGGATCGAACTCATGCGGAAGTGGCTTTAGCTTCTCAGTGCTGTGCTTTAACCCGCTGCGCCACCAGGGAGGGCCAAAACTGAAGAATTTTTAAATGGTTGTTTGGGAGGATTGAAGAACATTGTTAAATTTGTGTTTTTCAATTTTGAGATATAACTGATAATGCAAATTAAGGTATACAGCATAATAAATTGACATTTTGTGAAATGATTACCTCTATAAGTTAGTTAATGTCCATCATATCATAATAGATATACACACACAAAAAAGGTTTTTTCCTCTGAGGAGTATGTTCAGGATTTATTCTCTTAGCTTTCAAATATACCATACAGCAGTGATAACAGTAGTCATCTTACATGCTACATCTTTGTTACTTTTTTTTTTTTATTTATCTTTTAATTGGGGTTTTTTTTGTACCTTTGTCCATCTCTTTCCAATTTTCCTCCAATTTCCCATCTTTTGTTTTCTTTTTCTGAGTTTTTTTCTTTTTTTAAAGATTTATTTATGCATACATGAACTGGGGTATAGGCCAGAGGTGTGTGGAGAGGGGGTGAGAGATT